CACAGGATCAATCAGAAAAAAGATCAAAACAAAATGAAGAAAGCCTAAGGTTCATGTGGGATACCATCAAAAGGAATAACCTACATGTAATCAGAATTTCAGAACAGGAAGAGACAAATAAAACCACAGAAAAAATGGCAAAGATTTGTTGGAAGAAAATTTTCCTGGCATGATGAAAGATGAGAATATATCTATTCAGGAAGTCCAACGAACCCCAAACAGGATAGACTACAAAAGAAAATCATCAAGACATATCATCAAACTCACTTCAGAACCAGAGACAATCCTGAAAGCAGCACAGGAAAAACGAAGTTACCTACAAGGGGCAACCAATAAGACTAGGCTTGGATTTCTGGGCAGAAAACCATGCAGGCGAGAAGACAATATATAAAACCCTGAAAAATTTCCAACCAACTATTATCTAAAAAAAACCTCACTGCCATCAAGTCGATTTGACTCATAGTGACCACTCCTTCGGTTTCCAAGGCAGTATCTCTACAGAAGTAGATTGCCCAACCTTCCTCACCAAGAATTATATACCCAGAAAAATTGTCCCTCAAATATGATGGTGAAATTAGGACATTTCCAGATAAGCAGAAATTAAGGGAATTTGTTAAAACCAGACTGTTCTGGTTACCTAGTGCCACTCTGACAAGAAATATACCACAAATGGGATGGCCTTAACAAATAGGAGTTTATTCTTACAATTTGGAGGGTTTAAGTCCAAGTTCAAAGTGCCAGTCTCTAGGGGCTGGGTCCAGCTCTGCCTTCTGCTCCCGGCCCACTGGAGCTAGAGGCGTTTTCTTCACTCAGACAGCTGCTGGCTGCTAAGGCTGAGAAGCCCCAAGGTTGACAAGTAAAAAGCACAGTCCTGGTGTTACCAAACTACACGGCAGGCCATTAACTTAAGTTCACTGTAAGTCCCAAGGTTGGCAAAGCATAGCAGGCTGCTGAGCAATGACACAGCTACATGCAGAGTCCAAGCATGCCATAGGCTCGAGACTATCCCCAAGGCTTCTCCTTATATACAGGAAGCAAACCACGTCCCAAAGGCAGCTACTCAGCTGCTCACACTAGATTCCACCATGGAGTTGATTGCCAGTCTCATCATGGGGAATAACTACCACCAGCTGCCCAGCCACTCAACCAGACCCAGCCAAGTTGACAAACATAACCATCACACAGACCAACCCTACAAGAGATGCTAAAGGGAGTCCTTTGGACAGAGAACTAACAACAGCAAACAACAACTGACCATTAACACACATGACAACAACCCAGGAACCAACCCAGTTATAGAAATATCCAAAGCAAATAAGCCTACAAGATTGTCAACAGGGAACCACAGACATCAATTGACAAATGAGGACAACTACAAACCAAAAAGAGGGAAAAAATTGTGTAGTTACAGAAGTTCTAAGTGGTAGAGAAGTCAAGACAATTGCAAGATACAAGACAATTGCAAGATAGAGCAGATTGTGCTAAACATGGGAAGAAAATTATAAATCACAGGG